AAACTACCAATTTTGGTCCAATTGGACCGAAACGGCAACACTGTATTTAACATGCCTTGACCGTAAGGGAGAGCTAATTCAAAGTAATCCAAAAAAGAAGTTTCATTTCATTTGAATAAAGATTCATTTAATTTGAAAAAAGTTTCATTTAATTTGAACAAAGTTTCAGTTGTTTCTGAAAAAGGTTTCATTTAATTTGAAAAAAGTTTCGCTTAACATGAAAAAGGTTTCATTTAATTTGAAAGAGGTTTCGCTTAATTTTAAAATGGTTTCATTTAAACTGAAAATGCTACATACAAGACCTGTTGAATAATGATTAACAGGGAACGGATTTCATGGAAATTGCCTTTTTTCTGCTAAAGAGATAGAGTATATTCGATTAAGAATGTCCACGATTTAGCTTTCCCTGATTCCATATATACACATTTGATGTTGCTTTTTTTAAGATATTTGCCTTTTTTAAGATATTTGCCTTTTTTTGCCTTTTCTACCTTTACAAAAGTCATTATAGCATTTACAATTTTTTTTTTAAGATTAAAAAATATTCACATGCCCATGCGGCTTATAGAAGCGCAGGGACCTCTTGCCAAATTGTTGTTGGAAAAATTCAAAGCCGTTTTCTCAGCTAACGTAGGCTTGGAGACAATAAGGAGTGTGGATAAAATTGTAAAGGGCGAGGAAAACGCCCTTATTCCTGATAATATGAACGTTTCAAACGTTCCATATTTAAATTGGGCTCCACTTGTATCAACTTACGTCGAGCGCACATTTCGTACATTCAAGGCTTTTCTTCGCGAAAATCGAATGAAAATGCTGCCAGAAAACTTCAAAATGCATCTTGCGGTTCAATGTTACTACAACTATACAGATAAAGTTTTATGAGTTAGAAACTCGAAAGGATAAAATAGTCAAAGATTCAAAGTACAAATTTTTCATATAATGAAACTAGTTCATAGTTTTTCTCTTTTTACTTGTAATATAAACATTTCTAAAATAAATGTATTTTTTGATTATTCTTCGTATTTTATGTCTTTTTTTTGTGCCTTATTTTGCTTTTTTTGCAATACCAAGTGCCTTTTCCTGCCTTTTTCGCTATTTTATTTTGCCTTTTCCAGCCTATTTCGTTATTTTATTTTGCCTTTTTTATAGATTTTTAGGTCCTAAAAATCCATTCCCTGATGATTAATATTCATAATGTTATTAATTAAAGCATGTTGCTTAGGATAACCGTTTAATGAGTAATAATTAAATACGCAAAAAACGTTAATTAATTCATTAATTTTAATTACATCATTATTTTGTTATTTTTGCTCATTTTCAATTATTTTTTACTTGTTTTAATTACACGATTATAATTATTTGATTAATTTCTATTATTAATCATCATTGTTTGGTACTTAAGCTGCTTCACTGTAGATCAACGCCACCCATTGTTTGATTGTATTTGGAAACCACTTGTGCGGCAACCAAATGAATTTTTTTGCTTCGTGGTTGAAGCGTTTGGCTTTAGTTAATGGTTCATGGGAGTTATGGTTTGACATCACTCTAAAAACCTGAATTATAAGCATAGGCTTAGAATGAGTTTTTTTGAAAACAAATTATACTTTATGAAGTTTTGGACTGTCCCGTAAATTTCAAAATCGAAAAAGTTTCAAAAATATTTTTAGAATTTAATTATAAATAGACCATTTTATAAAATTCCAATGATATGCAAGTGGCGGTAATTTACTGTATAAAAAATACGTGAAAATAACTAAGAAAAGCACATAAAATGGAAATATAAAAAGCATTTCATCATATAAAAATGCTAAAATTGAACTATTATGATTTTAAACATGATCGCAAGCGGTCAAAGAACGTCCGCAAAGGTTGCAGTTGAAAAGGAATTAGGGTGGTTTTTGCCTTGGTTTTTCAAGAGTTTGTGTGTTGAGGATTGTCCTCCTCAAACGTGATTTGTCCTTCTATGTCCTCCTTTTGAGGTAAAATGCCCTCCTTTTCAAAAAATTCCGTTCAGAATATTATTATTTCCTAATCGTACACAATCATTGTATTTAAAAAGCGTTTACATTGTTCAACTTTCACTTAAATGATGTTAACTTTTGATTCAACTAACCACCAGGCGAAAACTATTGCTTACCATATGTCATTTTGTTTGCTAGATATATAAGTATATGTATATGTNCGTACACAATCATTGTATTTAAAAAGCGTTTACATTGTTCAACTTTCATTTAAATGATGTTAACTTTTGATTCAACTAACCACCAGGCGAAAATTATTGCTTACCATATGTCATTTTGTTTGCTAGATATATAAGTATATGTATATGTTTTTATCTTGATAAAAGATTTTGTAAAATGGCTTAAAATAAGTATGTTCGTTACATTGGAGCGCAAATCTGCTTAAAAAATTTTGGAAAACGCGTTATTTCACATCCAAGAATATAATCCAAAATAACACAGGCCTGTGCGGTTTCCCCTTAGAAATGTATTTCATGATTACGATTACAGTAATCTTAGTCCTTAAATTTTTAAGGTTACAACTGTTATAATCATAGTGGTACCGTTTATGATTACAATTAAAGTAATCGTAATCGCATATAATTTAAGGATTACAATATCGAATTCGTAACTATGCTCTCACTTTCCACATAAGCCTGCGTTTTTCATCGTTGATACAATGAAGTAAGCACAGCATTAGGCATTGAATTGGTACAGAATTGAATTAAAAACCCATTCGAGTGTTGATTGTACTAATTTTTATTATTTTCACAACTTTTCCGATGATTTCATCAATTTTTTCTTCCAAATCTACATACATGCAGGTACCGCAAAAATATTTAATTTTAATGAAAATTTTCAAATCAAAATGACAACTGACGGCTGTTCACTTACCGCCAACCACTTTACCGTCGTCCGCTGTAATTCTGGATAGAACTTAAATTTTCCAGTGAAAAGGTACAAAAGAACGCGAAGCATTTTCAACAGATTTATGATCTAGTTATGAGCAGTGAACTTATTCTTTGGTACAATTTATGGAAGAAACAGAAAAAGAACTAGTCCGAAGAAGATTTAAAGGATGTTGAAGCGATAAATAGGTGTACTTTCCCTTTTGAGCGCTTTTCCATGCACAACAGCGACTGTGTAGCGATCGTTTAGTACCCTTCGTAGAGTAAAAACCTGGCTCAGAAGCACAACAGGAGAAGTAAGGCTTTCCGGATTATGACTCATGAGCGTCCATAGGAAACTCGTTACCGAAAACCGCGAGATGATTCAGAAAATCCGAGACGTTTGTTATTAGCGTAAAAAGGGTTAAATAAAAATGTATAAAAAAATTAACAAGTATGTAAATTTCGTTGCCCCCCTTAGATAAGATCCTGGCTACGCCATTGTATATCACTATCTGCTCTGTTTTTCTTAAGAGCGAAGGGTTAATATGTCGACAACATTTAGACGAAAAAGCCGTGATTTCTGCATACTTAACTCAATTTTTGAGCGATATACTATTTTCTTTGCCCTAGTTATTGTCTGTGCACCTATGACTTATTTCAGTGGGCGGGGAAACGGAGATTTCTCCGATTAATTTTTATNAAAGTAATCGTAATCGCATATAATTTAAGGATTACAATATCGAATTCGTAACTATGCTCTCACTTTCCACATAAGCCTGCGTTTTTCATCGTTGATACAATGAAGTAAGCACAGCATTAGGCATTGAATTGGTACAGAATTGAATTAAAAACCCATTCGAGTGTTGATTGTACTAATTTTTATTATTTTCACAACTTTTCCGATGATTTCATCAATTTTTTCTTCCAAATCTACATACATGCAGGTACCGCAAAAATATTTAATTTTAATGAAAATTTTCAAATCAAAATGACAACTGACGGCTGTTCACTTACCGCCAACCACTTTACCGTCGTCCGCTGTAATTCTGGATAGAACTTAAATTTTCCAGTGAAAAGGTACAAAAGAACGCGAAGCATTTTCAACAGATTTATGATCTAGTTATGAGCAGTGAACTTATTCTTTGGTACAATTTATGGAAGAAACAGAAAAAGAACTAGTCCGAAGAAGATTTAAAGGATGTTGAAGCGATAAATAGGTGTACTTTCCCTTTTGAGCGCTTTTCCATGCACAACAGCGACTGTGTAGCGATCGTTTAGTACCCTTCGTAGAGTAAAAACCTGGCTCAGAAGCACAACAGGAGAAGTAAGGCTTTCCGGATTATGACTCATGAGCGTCCATAGGAAACTCGTTACCGAAAACCGCGAGATGATTCAGAAAATCCGAGACGTTTGTTATTAGCGTAAAAAGGGTTAAATAAAAATGTATAAAAAAATTAACAAGTATGTAAATTTCGTTGCCCCCCTTAGATAAGATCCTGGCTACGCCATTGTATATCACTATCTGCTCTGTTTTTCTTAAGAGCGAAGGGTTAATATGTCGACAACATTTAGACGAAAAAGCCGTGATTTCTGCATACTTAACTCAATTTTTGAGCGATATACTATTTTCTTTGCCCTAGTTATTGTCTGTGCACCTATGACTTATTTCAGTGGGCGGGGAAACGGAGATTTCTGCGATTTTTTATTAGTTCGGCTCTGAATGATTATGGGTAATTGAACACTACATATTGCAATACCTCAGCCTTTCCAATATCTTGAAAGTCTTTTGCGGTTAACCATTCTAACTTGCTATTGATTTGCGCAAATGAAATGTTACCTCTTATAAAAACTTTAATCAATGATGAGCCGTCATTGCTCTTCAGTTTATTAGTAAACACATTGGGCCTTGGGACACTATCTACCACTCGTGGTACGCCTTTCAATTATCCATGCTTGATTACTAAGTTTTTACTGTGGCCATCAAAATTTTTAATTTATTTCACTTTATCCGCCATTGTATTTCTTTTGTTTGCACTTTTTGTTTTATTTCTGTGTATTTGTAATTAACTAGAGTCTATTATAACTATTTTTATGTCTCTTTGTGACTTACTTGCCGGTCTCTTCCACAACGGTGGCTAGCATAAACTCTGTGGATTTGTCATTGACGATGACGTGGCAGTCGTCGATATCCGGAGAAAAGGCACCACCTCCGGGATCCTCCTCCTCTTCATTCGACCCGGACGCTGTGTTCGTCGCCGGCTCGTCAGGTATAATGCGGGCCGCATGCCTTCCGCTGTCCAACGCCGTTTCGGCAAGTCGACGCGTCTGTGCCACATTCTCAATGACACTGCCACCCGTCAACTCCGAGAGGTGCGGCGTCCGGGCAGCACGAGCTTTTTGTGCTCGGATACTTAATGCCTATTGTTCGTGACAGGACACAAAAGGCGGAGGAAGAAAGGAACATATTATAATATTACACTATGCGAAATTAAAGAGGAGTGCATGCAAAAATATGCTAGTAAGTGCACAAAAATATGAAATAGCTGTATGTGTTTGCATATTTTTGAGGAATTCGAAAAAAATAAATTTTAGCTTTTGCCTAATTACCCTGAAAATACTCCAGTATAAAAACACCATTATGATGCACGGAATGTAGAAACTGGTGAGTGATGAGCAAAGGATAAACATTGTGTTGTAGAATAGACACAGCCCCGGGTCACGATCAGGCGTGTTGTTGAGACCCATCACTATGGGCAAGCCGATAGCCACTGATATCGCCCAGGCTAGCAGGATTGTCAGGCAAACACGTGGACTGTTTCTGTGTTTTGCATATTCTATAGGTCGCGTCACAGCAATATACCTGAAATTATGTGCAAACCAAAATATTAATTTATGTAGTAAAAGATAGTTAAGACGTTTATCTAAATGTTTGGTCTTTTTGTGGATCAATATAAAAAGCTATTTATTTCTTTCACATTCTAAAGCGGATTTCGTTAAAACTAGTGGTTGAATTTCACTTTCCATACATTGTTCATTATATTTGCACTAAATATGTATTCTATGTCCTTTCTGCTGATAACAATTTTAAAATCCACAAGAAAAGGTATAAGAGTTCACTTCCGCCAAGCCTTAACTGCAGGTTATGCTTATTGGAAAAAGGTGGTGGTGTAGTTGTTAGCTATGCGCGCTACCACTCCGCAGCGCCTGGGTTCAAGCCAAGGTCCCGACTAACATAAAAAAAAAGAAACCGTTTTTTTTCAAATAGCTGTCGACCTTCGGTCTGTGTGACAACATCAAGGCGCGCGCCACAAATCGTAGGAGAAGCTCGGCCTAACACCAACATACACTTGTGATCAGCTAATTAAGCCAGCAAGATTTTGATAAATTTTGGCTATGTTTCTTTTGTTTATAATTTTGCCAAAAAAGTCTAGCTCATATATAACAAACACTACATAAATCCAGATTTTAAACTTTGTGCAAAAATTATGAAAAATCTGCAAAGTTTCAGCTAAATTTTCAAGTTTTTATTCAGATTTTTCATAATTTTGTTGATTACGCACTTTAATTGCCCATTAAATTCTAGGGTAATAATGTGCAAGTCTTAAGTTGCTAAAAAATCGTGTTGATTTTTAATAATTTTTTTTTTCTGACTTGATGACGCATTTTTTTCATACAAAAAAAATTTTCGAATTTATTTTGTATGGAAAAAAATTTGTCGAATTTATTTAGTATGGAAAAAAATTTGTAATGCAGTCAGAAAAAAAAATATTAAAACTCAACGCGATTTTTTAGCAACTTAAAACTTGCACATTATTACCCTAGAATTTAATGGGTTATTAAACTCCATACTCAAAAAAAAAATCTGAATAAAAAGTTGAAAATTTAGCTGAAACTTTGCAGATTTTTCATAATTTTTCCACAAAGTTCGAAATCTAGATTTATATGGTGTTTGTTATATAATGAGCTAGACTTTTATGGAAAATTAATAAACATTAAATAAACGAAAGCAAAATAGCCAAAATTTATCAAAATGTTGCTGGCTTAATTAGCTGATCACAAGTGTATTTGTAAGCGCCAATCTATTGTTAAGTACAGGCAAAAGAAAGTCAGAAAGAAAGAAATAAATCTTTCCAATCACCCCATTTTAAAATTCTTGGAACTTAGCAGGCCTCTTAACTGCAAAACTTCACGCTTTTGGTGGAAATGAGCTATAAATCTCTGTTAATTTAAACATTAATTTTAAGTTTTTCAAACATATTTTCTTAAAACAAAATTTATGTTAAAAGGCAGATAAATTTTAAAAGATACTAGGGAAGACGGTCTAAAATTGTAATCCATGCAAATTTTCTTTTATCACAGCGCACGGTAGTGCGCGCGAGTGACGAAAGCAGCCACAGTCGCATGCTGAAATGACTCGCTTANAATTTTCTTTTATCACAGCGCACGGTAGTGCGCGCGAGTGACGAAAGCAGTCACAGTCGCATGCTGAAATGACTCGCTTATATATACATGAGATTTGTTATCGAGATTTGTTGGAAAGGTCTTTCAGAGTGTGTCCACAAAATGTATTTAAGCTTCATAAACGATTATCCGAATTCTTAAGAATTAGGCTTAAAGTTGTGAAACAAAACACGTTTTTTTGCCTTTTTCTGTATTCTATAGGTTATTAACTTTCCAAGGATACCTTATATATTGAGCTCCGGCTACTAGTTGGAAAGATATAGAGCTTAAAGAGAAATTACAGAGAATTTTGAGTTTTCATTTAATTTCATGAATTTTATAATAAATTAAATTGTAGAAATTTCGCGCAGATGCTTTTNAAAAGTAGCTTATGTCGAAAGGCTGGCTTTAGTATAATGCGGCATTCCCTTTATTCTTTAAACGAGAAGAAATTTTTCGATGAGACTTAATAAGAATATTGACTTGCTAGTATCGGAACTATTTCTGGCACGTTTATTTGCCAAACGTTGTTCAACGGCTTAGTGCCTGTGAATCATTCGCAATCACATGCTGCGAATGCCGATTTATACTAAATCCAGCCCTTCGACATAAGCTACTTTTCCATGCGAACACAGATTTCATGAATTTTATAATAAATTAAATTGTAGAAATTTCGCGCAGATGCTTTTTAAGAGAAGAAGTGGGGATAATTTAAATAATATATTTAGCTTTACATGCGTATTTCTAGAAATTTTAGCTGAAAAGTTTGCAATTGTAATGATAATTTGTTGATATCTTTTTTTATTTTAATTTAATTTACTTTTATAAAAAAAAATACGCGAAAAAAACCAAATGAAAAACATTGCGAATATTATACACCGCCCGAACAAAGTATTGGCACAGCAAATTTTTCACAATATATGCAAAAGTTTTCATTCTAATATTTTTCCACTGATTTCGTATAAAAATATGTTTCATTCTACAACGAAAAACATAAAAATATAATTCCTAAACTTTGTGCAAAACTCGCGAAAATTCAGCAAATTTTCATGAAAATTTTAAATTTTTTAAGAAGATTTTTTAGAATTTGTTTGAGTATGCAGATTTGTAGCCCAATGAATTTTTTTATAATAAAGTGCAAGATTTAAGTAGCAAGGAATTACCGTTGATTTTTTCCACACAGTCTCTTCCATACAACAATTATTTTTCGAAAATACTTTATATGGAAAAAATGCAAAACACCTTCAACAAAAAAAATTCTCAAAAATCAACGCGATTTTTGACTTACTCCTAACTTGCATTTTATCACTAGAACTTAATGGGCTGCAAAACTGCATACTCAAAAAAATTCTCAAAAATCTGATTAAAAAGTTGAAAATTTTGATGAAAATTTGCTGAATTTTCGCGAGTATCGCACAAAGCTTAGGAATTATATTTTTGTGTTTTTTGTTGTTGAATAAACCATATTTTTATACGAAATTGGCAAAAAAATATTAGAATAAAAATTGTTGCATATATTATGAAAAATTTGCTGTGCCAATACTTTGTTCGGGCGGTGTATAAAGATCACTACAATTTTAAGTGAGTCTTTATAGTTATTTATTCGTTTTTACCAGGTTAGTCAGTAAATTTATACTCAGCGAAAAATGGAAATATATGTTTGAATTAAACATTCCAAAATAATAAAGTGCTAATCATTTTACAAATTTTCAAAACGGTTTTTTAATTTCCTGGTAGCTTTAAAATAAAACTTTAATACTCAATCATAAAGTTTCAATTTGTATAAGTAAACCTCGCCAACAAAGGGGCTTAAGCACCCCAGAGTAGAATAATCCCCTTCAAATTTTTTTTCAAACCCTACCGAGGATACGTAAAACTCGCCTGAATGTATTCGTCACATATATTCACAGATACTAAATAATACATGAAAAACCTGTGCACGCGCAAAACTATCTCCCTTTGATTGCTGAATCCAAACATATTGCGNTGGCAAAAAAATATTAGAATAAAAATTGTTGCATATATTATGAAAAATTTGCTGTGCCAATACTTTGTTCGGGCGGTGTATAAAGATCACTACAATTTTAAGTGAGTCTTTATAGTTATTTATTCGTTTTTACCAGGTTAGTCAGTAAATTTATACTCAGCGAAAAATGGAAATATATGTTTGAATTAAACATTCCAAAATAATAAAGTGCTAATCATTTTACAAATTTTCAAAACGGTTTTTTAATTTCCTGGTAGCTTTAAAATAAAACTTTAATACTCAATCATAAAGTTTCAATTTGTATAAGTAAACCTCGCCAACAAAGGGGCTTAAGCACCCCAGAGTAGAATAATCCCCTTCAAANGTAAATTTATACTCAGCGAAAAATGGAAATATATGTTTGAATTAAACATTCCAAAATAATAAAGTGCTAATCATTTTACAAATTTTCAAAACGGTTTTTTAATTTCCTGGTAGCTTTAAAATAAAACTTTAATACTCAATCATAAAGTTTCAGTTTGTATAAGTAAACCTCGCCAACAAAGGGGCTTAAGCACCCCAGAGTAGAATAATCCCCTTCAAATTTTTTTTCAAACCCTACCGAGGATACGTAAAACTCGCCTGAATGTATTCGTCACATATATTCACAGATACTAAATAATACATGAAAAACCTGTGCACGCGCAAAACTATCTCCCTTTGATTGCTGAATCCAAACATATTGCGCAGAGTGCTTTACCTATACAGTGTTTTAATCTAGTAATCAAAGTTCAAAAGGGGCATATTGTATTTCAAAAAAGTAATTTTGCTGCCTCCATGAGCCGATTTCTTAGAGGCTCGTATATAAGGCCGGCTGCACTGAACAATTGTTCACTTGGATCGCTGGCGGGTGGAGCGCTCAAGTATTTGCGGGCCAGATCTGTCCATTTGTCGTATTTTAGTTTAGTTTTCCACCAATCGAGATAAGCTCGTTTTTAGTTAAGAAGGGCCTTCAATTGAGCTTTCACATTTTCTAATGCCTCCAGATTCTACATCCGAGCCTTCGCTTTCACTGGAGGAATCTAAAATTATTTCTAGATTGTTTATAAGACTTTTAGCAGTACTTGTTGAAGACCCATCAATTTGGTTGATATACTACTTAACCGTTTAGCGCCTGAAGCTAAAAGCCGGTTATTGTCCGCACTCTGGTTAGACAGACTTAGAGCCATTTCAACAATATTAGAGTGGACTCTCTGCCCACGTACACATTTGCATTCGCAAAGCATTTGTATCATTTTACGCGAATGCGAATGTAGAATTCGAATGTGTAAAATGATGTAAATCATTCGCATAACGAATGCGAATGCAAATATTCTCAACATCCCTGGTATGCATATATTAAAATCCAATTCGATTGATTGCATGTTGATCTGTTGAACTAACATAGTTGAGTT